TTCTAACTGATGGTAGAACACTTGTTAAGCTACAGACATGAAGGACACATTTGGGCAAAAGCTACAAGGTTGATCTTGAATTTAATATGTGGACCACTGAATCGACTAAATGGTTTAATATGTTTAGAATTAAACATATTAAACCATCACTTTGCCTCCTTAAATGTTACAACATTAACATCGCTGAGGGGAAGCATCCTCAGAGGAAACATGTCCATCTGTAACCTGTGTGTTGGCTCCCTTTCATCCGCTGCCTCGTGATGGACCCCCCCCCCCCCCCCCATCCTTTTTCCCCCCTGCTCACTTAATGTTAAATTAATGGTCTGAGAATTTAGGCCTAACGGATGAAAAGTTTTCCCTCCGAGGTTGACGAAGCTTTGGGACTTTGTTTTCTAAAGAATAAAGTCGTTAAGCCGAAGAACATTCATGTGTAAAACGTGATTTATGTTGCTGTTAAAAATTATTTTTGATTTCCTGTCAATCTCATGCTAGTGGGGTTAGCCTAGCTTAGCATAAAGACTGATGGCAGCCGTAATATAGCAGCCCCTATAAAGCTCAGTAACATGTTGTGTCTCGTTTCAATCGGGACATTTGACAGAAAATGCCATTTAAACGAGTGTGGACCCGTTTGCTCCCCTGAGGCGCCTCAAGTAATAAAAACCTCACACATTCATCAAGAGTACAATCTTGTGACAGAACGTATAACAGGAACCATTTTGAACTGTATTTCACTAAAACACTTTTAACGAAGCACTTTTAGTCAACAGAAGACAAGAATAGCAAAAACTAGAGAATACAATAATAAAGCAACGAGGTACGAGAGGCTGTACTTTATCGTCCAATAATGTAATAATAACAGTTTGTTGTTAGGCCAACGTGGAGCTTTTATAATACCAGCGAAATTAGAATTAGTAAGTAAATAGCTGCCGTTCAGCACAAAACAGTTGTAGCCACCAAACGTTGTGTATCTCATTTGAGAAAAAGACGTGCGTGCACATAAACAGCATCGAGTCCCGGACCATCTCATTTATTCACATCGCTCATGATGTCCACCTGAATCGTCCGGTTGGAAAAGCTCGCATTGCCCCAATCCGATCTAAGCGATCTAACCGATCAAACGGATCAAACTGATCATTTGTGGGATTTCCGGGGGATTTTCGGCAATCGCCACCGAACTAAATGGCCGCGCAAAATCTAACCGTTACTGTCAGTGCGCAGTGCTACGGAACGGTCAATGTGAACAGGTGCTGTACGTTATCGCCCAATAATGTAACCCCCATGACTCACTCTCGACCAATCAGAACGCTGGATTTCATCTACCTGTATTATAACAACAAATGAACAATAGAACTAAAGTTTTAAAGCGCACAATAAATTAAACAAACCCAATTTCTCAAAATAGGAAAAAAAAGAAACCTGTTAAATAATGATATATGAAAATACAAAAAAAGACTATATAAAGTGTACAGGCAGTGATACTAACACTTTAGTGCCTCATGTAAACAATGTGAACGTGACATTCAGTATAATGTGTGTGTTATAAAGTATTTGTACAGTGCAGCAGATGTACTGCAGTAGTATTTGAATACATGTGTGGACAGTGAGAAGAAGTTCTTCTTCTTCTGTGTGTGTGTGTGTGTGTGTGTGTGTGTGCGTGCGTGCGTGCGTGCGTGCGTCTCTCTCCCTCCAGGTGATCGGTGATCGGTGCCGGTGGACCAGCAGCTCGGGATGAGCAGGACAGATCCTGATGTTTGTGCTGGATGGGGTCCACCATGATGTTTGACTTTAAACTTCCTGCACGTGACGTGAATTTATATAAAAAGATCCTGATGCATTTAAGAACAAAACATTATTTTTTTAACTTTATTATGAAATTCTTGGTACAAACAGCAACAATTTACATTTTAATGGATAACTATGCTTTGACTCCTTCGTTCTTCAGTACACTTTAGACCTTCAAGGAGAAAATGAAAACCTAATAAAAGAGTTGTTTAAAATGCCCCCCCACCCCCACACACACAGGATGATGGAGTTGCTCACCTGGAGAAGGTGTATATGGAGAGCAGTCCGAGCAGCAGCTCCCGGCCGTAGAAGCAGAGCAGCACGGCGCCGAGGATGAACTCCAGCCGCAGGACGTATGTCTGCAGCAGCAGGAAGTAGACGGCCAGCGCGGCGCAGGGCAGCAGGACCAGGAGTGCCGCGCACGAGGCCAGAGAGCTCTCGCACAGGTTCCCCTTCCACCCTGAAGGACGACACCGGGTCAGTGGCCGGCAGGCTTCACCCGGACTGGATCGACGTCAAGGCCCTTTGGCCACCAGAAGTGCCTCAAAACTAAACTGATCGGAGTTTCCAAACAGCTGGGATCCGTTTTCCTCATTGCCTCTCCACATCCCGACCGCGCCTTTATTAGGAGTGCAAAGTGCTGCTGCTCCGTGCAGCGCAAGTACTCTCTAAAAACGCGCTCTGGACATATTTCCTTGCAAGGAAATCAACGGAGAAAGACATATTTGACTCAGAGCCTCATACTTATTTACCGATTGTCCGTGCAAAGTCTTAAACAGTAGAGCAGCAGCAAGAAACATCCACATCCTGACAGGTCAGTCTAGGTTTAAGATTAGGGGAGTACGTAACATTTTGGTCCTAAATGACTAAATCCGTTGGGTTCCACCAAAATAATAGCGGTAAAATTAGAGAGTGGGTTCAGACGTCACTGCGCACCGTAGAAGATCCTGAGCATCTCCAGGCCGAGGAAGAGCACCAGCAGAACCACATCCAGAACCAGGTTATCCGACGGGTAGGGAAGTGAGTTTCCTGATCAAAAAACAAGGATCATCCCTCAGCTTTAGGTTGAACATCAAATCCGGAATAACCAACCTCCTCCCTTCTGCTGCGTCGTTTAAAGTATTTAAGTAAACGAAGAAGAGGACTAGTCTAAGGGAGGAGGAGTACTGATGCTCTTCTTTAGTCCACACAATGCACAGTGAGACAGAAGACATTTCAACTGTTCATTCATTTTAACACAAAGATACTCTTTAACCTCGAACGTCCCACTCAAGGACCTTAAAACCACAGTTTGTCCCGTAGAACATAGTCATGCATTCTATCATATTCTCTTTCAATCTCAAGGCTTTATAACTGTAGTTGTTCTCATCAGTTCTCCACCGCAGTGAGCCTTCACCTCCTGGCAGCTGTATTATGGACGGATGTTGGATGAAATTGCATCAAAACTGTGTAAAAGAAGTGTACAGCGGTATTGAGTGTGTTTCTGAACGTATATTGTTAAAAAGGTGAAAGTTAAACGTTTCTAAATGTTCGGTACATATCCCTGCAGAACTCATTTGTCTTTCTGTTTCCTGTCTCAGTGAGGACGTCGTGAGGACACGGCGTCTCGCTCACACCTTTATAAATGAACATCAGGACCTCTGCCAGGTAGAAGGCAGCAAAGTACCAGCTGTTCAGGTAGAAGAGGACCTGCAGGGGAGTGGACGAACGCTGAGGGAGAACGAGTCAAGGACAACGGAGGGACGCGTCTCTCACACTCACTCACACACACACACACGCACACACACACACTCACACTCACGCGCACACACGCATCAGTTCTATGTGAAGGATACGATGAGTTGGCTCCCTGGAGGGATGAAGAGAAGATCAAACAAATCAGAAATAATACATTAAAATGCATTTCTTTATAAGGGTTAGTGTCGCCACATTTGCTATTGCTGCTCTAGAACATTTTCCTAAACTTAGTTAAGTAACGTAAGTTGTTTTCCTTTGCAAGGTAACGTGAGTATTTTTAAAAGTAGAAAATGAAAAACTGAAATTGTGCTTAACTAACTAACTTGTTTCCTCTTTGGCATGTTAGTTTAAATATATTTCGCTGTTGGTTGACAGTTCATGAAATCCTAAGTGTGCAGTTGATGAATAGCGAATGATGAATAGGGAAATCAGACTTCGAACACTAAGCTAACGCAGCTAACATCGGCTAACTCCGTTAGATGCTGGGGGGGATTCTAAACGCACATTTTCCTTCCTGATGTCCGGGTACAACGCTTTGCTTTCACAGCAGTAAGTCATATAAGATAAAAAATATTATTTAATACATTTAAGTTGTTGATGTCTAACATTTATTTGGCACGAGAAAGTGACTTACCAACCGCCATGTCTGATTGCCATGGAAACAGCTTGGGAGGAAGTGCTTCTTCGTTGGTTTTGCGTTAAACCGGAGCGGGTTTAGTTTGCTGCCGTATAGTGGCTTAATGTGGTACTACTAATATTAATGTAATAGAACTACCTTTGCTACTTTGCTAAATTACTTACGTTTAACATGGTACTGAAATTAATGTACTCACTCATAGTGAAACTTTCATTGTATAAATAATGGCCTCAAAAAATAAATAATATGCTGTTATTATTATAATATTGGCATATAAACCAAAATGACTAGAAAAATAACAATAGGTTCTGTACATTTTATACATTACCAATTTACCCTGCACATTTATTTGATGATTGAAAAATAATAGTTTTTTCTCCAATAAACCTTTACAATGTATAAATAAAAAGTATTTCGTAATAGCCATTGTGTAAATGTAACATAGATTTCCTTCAAGGAAGAAAAGCGTTAATAACTACAACACCCAGCATCCTATGCGGCGCGCTGATTGGTCGGAGTCCATCGAGGGTTTACGTGGCACTGCTGAGTTCGCGCAGCCTCAGTTGCCGCTCTGCTCCCTCTCCCTCTCTCTCTCTCCGGGCAGGAAGGAAGATGGTGTCTGTCAGGATGCGGTCGTGTTTTCTGTCGCTTTTGCTCCTGAACGTTTTCTACAGCGTCGTCTCCTCGTTGTATTTTCACATCGGAGAGACCGAGAAGAAATGTTTCATAGAGGAGATCCCGGACGAGACCATGATTATCGGTGAGTGTCACAGGAAGTCGATAGGGTAATGCTAACTGCTAGCTCAACAACTTGAGCTAGGAAGCTAATCGGCTAACTGAGCTCAAGTCGACGTTCTGTCCCCACAGAGTGTAATATGTACTGCTTATGTGTTGACGTCACAGCCCGTGCACGCGCACACAGACCGACACTTACACACACACACACACACTGGAGAGCAGCTAGCAGCGAACTATTTAACCTAGACTAATTTAGTCTAATTTTATATTGCTAAATCTTTGCGTAACGTTGTGTGCTCTTCTCACTATGTTTTAAATAGCGTGACGTCACATAATAAACTTTATTTTAACACAGATTTAACTTTAACTCCGTAAACTCAAACAGCGGTATTATTTGTGTAAATTCCACTTGAGTGTGAAAAGTAGTTCAATCTATCAGAACCTTTTCTTTAAGTTCAATATTCATCTCTGAGATGTAACTTACTGCAGTAAAAAGTAACTCACGAGTACACACTCTTTTCTCTTCCCAACTGCCTCCATCCCGCACACCTTCCTTCCTCCTTTTCATCCTTTCCCTTCCTTCCTCCCTCCTTTCCCTTCCTCCCTCCTTTCCTCTCTGCAGGAAACTACCGGACTCAGCTGTACGATAAACAGAGAGAAGAGTACATGCCGGCCACTCAGGGTCTGGGGATGTTTGTGGAAGTCAAAGATCCTGATGACAAGGTGAACATCATCATCATCATTATCATCATCATTTAACCCCCCCCCTCATCTCCCTTTACCAGTAACTGCTCTCTGTGTCTCCTGCAGGTGATCCTGTCTCGGCAGTACGGCTCGGAGGGGAGGTTTACCTTCACCTCACACACACCCGGAGAGCATCAGATCTGTCTTCACTCCAACTCCTCCAAGTTCGCCCTGTTTGCTGGAGGCATGCTGGTAAAGGAGACGTTCTCTCACTCTTCTCTGGAACCTTCACAAATATTTAATCACCCGGAAACATTTCCAGCCAGATTCTCCTGTTTGACTTTCTTCAAAAGTTTGACTCTGTTTTGGGGCTTTGACTTTGATTAGGAATTCAAATAATAAATAACCCTAATAAGTAAAATGTTAGTGTATTGCCTGTATAATACTAATATTAATTCATCTTCATTAATTTCATCTTTTTCATATTCATGTGAAAACACAAACTACATTTTGCAGATGTTATGTGATCACAACATAACTTTATTTAACGGTTAAAGTTAATATGATGTGTGTGTTATTTTACATTCACGGACTTCCATGTTTGTTCTCGTCTCGCAGAGGGTTCACTTGGACATTCAGGTGGGAGAGCACGCCAACAACTACGCTGAGATCGCTGCCAAAGACAAGCTGACGGAGCTGCAGCTGAGAGTCCGACAGCTGGTGGAGCAGGTGGACCAGATCCAGAAGGAGCAGAACTACCAGAGGGTCGGTTCAACACACTCGTGTTGTTTCATTGAGATTAGTTTAGTGTGGGGGGCAGCAAGCCATTAAACACTTTCCCACAATGCAAAACTAGAAGCAAACCAGGAAGCAGCAGCTCGCCACAGGGACACTGACTCGCAGGATAATCTACTCGCTGTGCTGAGCTCATGTAGCTAACGGCTGGCCGCTAACTGTTCCTGAAGCAACTCATGCTTGTAAACCTTCTGTTTATTTTGATGGCAGTAGAATGTGACTTCTTGAGGTTCTTGATTTGATGTCTCATCTTCCCACCAAAGCCTAAAAAAGTTGTCTTCTTGAATTAACATTCTACTCAATCCGTCAGAAGGATGTTGTATGACTCCTGCCGTGAATCCTTCAGCGAACAAAGGTTTGTTTTTCTAACGCCTCTGTGCCTTCAGTCATGTGACCTGTCTGCCCGCCTGTCTGTCCTCTCTCAGTACCGTGAGGAGCGTTTCCGCCTGACCAGCGAGAGCACCAACCAGCGGGTCCTCTGGTGGTCCATCGTCCAGACCCTCATCCTGGTGGCCATCGGCATCTGGCAGATGAGACACCTCAAGAGCTTCTTCGAGGCCAAGAAGCTGGTGTAGCTTCACAGCTGTGTGTGTGTGTGTGTGTGTGTGTGTGTGTGTGTGTGTGTGTGTGTGTGTGTGCGCGCGGATGAGTGTGTGCTTGGTCTCTACTGATTGGCGGCTGTCGCCGTCAGAGGAAGAGGAACCGCTGAGAAGACGCGGAGAAAAGCAGCTGTGAGGTTGGGCTTGAAAGACGCCATCTTTGGTCCCTGTTGACGGTTCCTCATTGATTTCCTCACATGTGCAGTAGACTATTGGGGGACGAGGGGGGATGTGACAACGGTATTTATTACACAGGGAGCGTTTCACTCTGCTTTGTGTCGGCGTGCTTCTTTATTATTTTCAATGACTTCCCCTTCCTCCCGATGAGGTCATGACGTGTTACTGGCCACGAGAGATGAGCTGCAGTCTGATGCAGAAATAATAATCTTGATTCAATGGTAGACTGATTTTGTGGAACTTTTTTTTTTGTTTCGTCCATGTGGAAAATCCGCAAAGACGTTAAAGCGCTGCTGCCGTTGTTGTTTCTGTTGTTGTTTGCTTCTGAGGCGGCGAGATACTGAAGCACTCTGACCTCAGTGTTTGGTTTAACATCAACTGAGCAGCACTCAACAACGAAACACTTCAGGTTTCCACCTGCAGACCTTAAAGTGACCGTAGCGATGTTCTGAGGGGTGTTTTGATGAGCTTTGTGTTCAACTCCATTCAGATGGAGCATCTGCTGTGGACGTGCTTTAGACTCTTCAAGTATATTTAGAATATTATCTCCTTAGTGGCTGTCAGACAGTTGAAGTTGTTACCTGTAATCTCTTCGAAGACACCAGACTCCATTCACACAAACAGTCGTTTTAGCTCCAACCACTCAGGGGTTCCTGGTCTTCTGCTGCCTCCGTCTGCTAGTTAGTTTGTGTTGTTGTGTGACTTCGGTGAATCTGAATACCGAAGTCACACAACAACTCAAAGTAGCTCACGGACTGAGTCAGCAGTCGACCAGAAGCTACCGTGTTACTGGAGGTTAAATGAGTGTTTTCTTAATGGAGTCTGGTGTCTTTGAAGAGAGCACAGATTTCAGAACGGTTCTTCTGACAGCACATTAAAGAGGTTAAAATATTCTTTTTTCTCTTTAAGGTGTCTAAAATACATCCACAGCAATACTCTGCAGGTAGTAGTACACACAAGTACCTCATTTAGCCACACTTCTACCTTTACTGTAGTGGAGGAGTCATTACTCTCAGCACATTTGAAATAAAAGTCCTGTTTATGGGACCCCATTATCCTCATCACACATCCGTAGACTACAATTCCAGCCGTCTGTTTTATTGATGAAGTGGAGATTTTTATTGGCGGTTCATCGGTCAGCGCGTCGCCACCACTTTGATCTCATTCCTCCAGATGTTTCTCCTTTCAGGTATAAAAAAACAACAACCTGGAAAACGGTCAGACTATAGTTTCGTTTTCAAAGTCGCGCTTCCAGTGAAAAGAATCTGGAATATTTGAAAAGGGCCGATTTTAAAATAAGCTCTTAAGGAATAGTTTCCTTCTAAGATTTGGTTCCTTTCTGTTCTTCCTCTGCTGGTTTTTAGGTTGCTGGAATCTTTCAGGACTGTTGGTTTGAATCAGTTGGGTTTTAGGGTGTGGAAGTGGCTTGATTTAATTTTATTTTTGGAGAGATTCTGTCCATGTGAAATCTAAAATTGCACTCGGAATAAAGTTTGTCACATTTGAAGTGCTGATGGTTTCCTTCATATTCCTGTAATATTCTCCACTGATGAAGATGTATCAAACTAAAATAATTTCATTAAATTCCACTAAACCAATTTTGTCATGAAACTAAAATTTCCTACTAAACTTTTATGTTCATATTTGCGATCTGTTTTGTTTTTGCCTTTGTTACATAAATGTCCTTCAGCGGAGGAAGTGCTCAAACGTTATTTTAATAACTGAACCACAGCGTAGAAATACATGATATTGATGTATACTTTTTTATACGTTTTGATCATTTTAAAGAAATATTGTTACGTTTTGATCTTAGACGTTGAAAAATAACAATGTATTCAAAATATGTTTGATATTCGCGGTACTATATGTTTTGGTTGCAGAATTCATTTTTTCGCGCAGCATCCATGCGATGGCGTCTGAGTTCAGTGAAGTCGTCTATGTTCACAGATTATATATATATATATATTCAACAGTCTGTCAGCGAAAGGTGTTAAATCACCAACGCCTCTCTGTAACCATGGTGATTTGCTTTGCAGACGCCGCACATTATTGTGGTTGTGGCTGGTTGTCGACATCACTGCGGTTACACATCGGTGTCCTTTGTGTCCTTGATTTAACAAAGCAATTGAACTGGGATTTCCCAATCTGTGAATAACTTACTGTACAAGTTTTAAAAATGTGTCACAAAGAAAATAACGGGAATAAAAGAAAATAGATTTTAAGTAAATCAAAGCTTGGGAATGCAGGTAAGGAGAATACGTACGTAGGAATGGTTATATTAGTCTCAACCATTAATAATTCTCTCTTGGAAAAAGTAATAGTAGAAAGTGGGAATTTTGTGAAGGAGAATAAACTGTGGCACTACATCAACATAACATAATTATTCATGAGTATGCAGTCTTAACTACATCTCTGACGTTTATAGCTAAACAAACCGTTTAAAAATCGGTTATAAATTGAGCAAGTTATGGTTTAAAAAGTACATGTACCACTTCCAACACGACGTTATCGGTGAGCGAGCTGCCTGTAGCAAGATGGCCGCCATGTACGGACGTAGCTAGCCTTCATATATATATATCTATGGAGACCACGAGAAAGCGGAACCTTTACTAGCAACACCCGGAGCTGTTTCCACTCGGATGCCAGAACAGACCGGACAACAATCAAATCGCAGAATCTTTTTTCTCCATCGTCAAACTCCCGTTAAATATTCCCCCGGTGGGCTTTTCGTTGCGTTATTGTAACATTTCAAAAGTTAATGGCCGCTCGGTCGTGGTTGGACCGGATTAAAAGGACGTCAGTGCGACGGTAACGTTAGTTGAACCCGTAGCGTCGCTGTGTGTGAACCGCTACATGCTACGTGTACAGTTTTAACGGGGAACCCCGAGGGAGGCTGCTAGCTAACGAGCTAACAGGACAAACCGGCTACGAAGATGGAGGAAGTCGCTGAATGAGGGTCCAGTGTAATGAGCCCGTGTTTACACGCAGCGGAGGGCCGGGAGGGTTTGCGTGGAGGGTTGTCCATCACGGAGGACAGTCGGGACGATGAGACGATAGTCTGAGGGACAAAACACGCTGTTGTTTTCTAATTAAACCGCTCTGGAATCAGTCTCAGAAGATGATGTACTCGTCGAGAAGAAAGCCTGTGCTCTACTTCAAAGAGGAGAGACGGTGAGACTATACTTTGTGCTTTGTGATGTTTTATCTTCACAGTAATAGTACACAAAATAGTATCTCTGCTGGATTAATACAAAAAATCCCACCTACTTGGTAATATGAATCAGAACAATGTAAGGTAATTATCTAAAATAAGCCATTCTACAGGCTATTTTCTACACTGTGGTATATTTGACTTTAAACTGGTTGTTGATCAGTGTTTGATACTTATTGATCTTACTCTTGTACGAGCAGCTATTTCAACAGTTAAGAAAACAAAAGTTCAGCCATTACTTCCTACACGTAATACAACAAAGTATGACATGTAGTACAGTAAAAAGTATATGTACCTCTGAGATGTGGTGCAATAAAATAACATGTACGTTTGAGATTTAGAAGAGCAGTGAAGTCTGAGCTGAAACATATTTCAGTTCTTGACATTATTCGTGTTGTATCTCGTTATCGTTCCAACTTAAACTTGACATGACAACACAAACTTGTATTTTCTACAAACATTTTGAAGACAAAACAATCCAAAGATTTCAAATGTTAAATATTAATAAGACACAGTTTAAAAACAGAACCTGTGACATGACGCATATTTCACAAGACGCTGCAGACTTTATTTCTGCCTTCAGGCGAGAAGAATCTCCTTGTGAATATTAAACAGGAAAGTTATGAAATGGAGCAGAAATGTAAACGATGATCAATGAAATACAGATTTTAGTTTTTTTACCACATTTTTTAATCTTACTTCTAAAGCTGTTTTTAGCCTACAGTGTTATTGTATAGCGTTCACATGTTAAAACCTTGTTTCTGTGTTTATTTATTCATTTATTTACTATTTATTTATTCAGTTCATTTGTCTGTTTGACCTCAATGAAACTCTGCTATGTTCATTTGCTCTGCGATTTGATAAAGTTCTATAAAGACGCAGACATTGACTCCTGTTCTTCCATTTGACCCCTAAGCTCCGCCTCCTCTCGGTGTGTTTGGCAGGTTCCTTTCTGGTAAATGTACAATCTACAAGCTGTTCGGCCTCTGCATGGTGCTGCTGCTCGTCTCCCTCGTGTGGCTGCAGCTCGGCTGCTCCGGGGAAATGTCGACCGATGTGCGTGCTGATCGCCGCCCCCCCCTGCCGCCGCCACCGCTGTGTCCCGCCGACGGCGGCCAGGCGTCTGTGGCGGACGATCCCTCGTGGGGTCCCCACAAACTGGCCCTCATCGTGCCCTTCAGGGAGCGCTTCGACGAGCTGATGGCTTTTGTTCCCTTTATGCACGCGTTCCTCAACAAGAAGAAGATCCGCCACAAGATCGTCGTCATCAACCAGGTGGATCACTACAGGTGAGGGGGCGGAGCCTTTGATTCTTGGATACTAATGAAACACTTGCTTTGGTTCTTATTGTTATTTTGTTAACGTGCTGCATGCACAGGCTTAATCAGTTTAAAAAAGAGAGACACTGGTATGTAGGGGGGGGCAAGACACCGACAGACCGCCTGCGTCCCTGCGTCTCTGTCTCGTCCCCTAACCTCCTCTGCGACTCTTTAGCGACAGGTTTTAAAGTCCTAACTCCTCCCTTGAAAATCGACTGTGGCTCCTCCCACCTCTCCGGTCACCCAGGTTCAACCGGGCCTCCCTGATCAACGTGGGCTTCCTGGAGAGCAGCAACGACACGGACTACCTGGCCATGCACGACGTGGACCTGCTGCCCCTCAACGAGGCGCTCGACTACGGCTTCCCGGTGGAGGGGCCCTTCCACGTGGCCTCGCCCGAGCTGCACCCGCTGTACCACTACAAGACCTACGTGGGGGGGATCCTGCTGCTCACCAAGAAGCACTACCGCGCGGTACTGCGCCCAGGGGTCAGGGGTTATGGGGGTCAGAGGTCACTCTGACGGGCCGTTGTCTCACTTTGTTAGTTTAAACTTACTTTTGGGTGTTTTTATATTTCCTCAAACACTTTATATTAAACCACCATAGCTGTTTTTTCTGGTCTTTTTCTACGGCAAAAACGTATCTAAATGTTACGTAACAATATGTATCCGTATCATATAGTGATGTGTGTGTAAGTGTTGTCTTCTCCTGGTTTTAAAGGGGACATATTATGAAAATTCCACTTGTTTAGTGCTTCTACACGTTACTTTGGGTATCTGGCACGTCTACCGACCCAAAACTCTGGAGGAAACCCAACCCGTGGCTCTTTAGCATAAAAGGAACAGGCACTGAAAACAGGTCCCTCTGTGGGGGGCTGTTTCAGACGGGGTAACAAGGGTGCTCATTTAAATGATCCTTGATGTATTTTGACCGAGGTATGTTACAGACATTTCATGAACCATCAACTTGTGGCACAATGGGCACACGATGGGTCCTTTAATAGCTACAGCAAAGTCACATCATTCCGTTACTTCATTCTTTACATTCACGTTGCTTTATTATTATTTTTATTAGTTCGATTTCTCATTGTGTGAATATCTCATGAACGATATTTGGTCTAAAGGGACCTGATGTTTAATTCTTTAGTTGTTTCCACTATGACTTCATTTCAATCAGAAACATTGATATAAAACATTGTGTCTCTGATTTGTAGAACATCACCTGCATCTATTGGTCTGCATCCCATAATTATCACAGAAACCTTTGAAAGATGTTTATTTAAGAGGCCGGTTTGTGACTGAAGTTCCTGCAGATTGATGTAATGGTTGAAACTGTCCACCAGGTGGAGAAGTTTCACACGTTGTTCTTCAGAAGATAAAACGGTTCACATGCTTTTGTCTTTCCAGTGTAACGGGATGTCAAACCGGTTCTGGGGTTGGGGACGAGAGGACGACGAGTTCTACAGACGACTGAGGAAAGCTGAGCTACAGGTACGCGTCGGTTTAGAGTGGACCACGTTAGAACCTGCGTGAGACCCCGTTACAGCACGTTAGACCACATCAGGCCGCGTCTCCGATTCTCTCCTTGTTCACTCTGCAGCTCTTCAGACCGAGTGGAATCACAACGGGATACAAAACCTTCCTCCACATCCACGACTCGGCCTGGAGGAAGAGAGACCAGAAGAGGGTCGCCTCTCAGAAACAGGTAGAGGTGGTCACCAAAGCCTTCGTCCAGATATCTTCTCTGCAAATCTGGAGCCCCGCCCCCTTTTCATAGAGTCCATCTGTGGTGGCTAAGCTAAGCTAAGCTAACGTACCGATGAGCCACTCCAGCCTTTTTATAGAGGTTACACTTCTAGAATAGTGACAATAACCTGAATAAATCCAGGTCTCCTCGTGCAGAGGACGTTCTCCCAGACACCGCGCCTCGTGCTGTGTTCACTGACCCTGAGGTCTTTTAGGAATTGGCAGTTCCACAAAGCCAAAGTGACCCGAGACTCTCACTTCGAAGGAACGGAAAGCTCCGCTTATTGAACGCAACACGCCCTGCGCTGTCTCCTTTCCTCCCTGCAGGAGCAGTTCAAGGTGGACCCGGAGGGGGGGCTGACTAACATCCGGTACCAGGTGGACTCCAGACAGGAGCTGACCATCAGCGGCGCTCCCTGCACCGTCATCAACGCCAAGCTGGAGTGTGACCAGGACCTGACGCCCTGGTGCCTGCTGGCCTGATGGAGGCGTTTACCCAGCAGTGCCTCGCGCCTCCGCTGCTCATGTTTCTGTTATATATTTATTTTTCATCCGCAGCCGGAAAACCAAAAGAAAGAAAAAAGGATACGGACGGAACATCTGTAACTTCTTCATAGAATCGTTGTCCAGTAAATCAGAAAGACGTTTTCTGGCCGTACAAAAGCTCCTGAAGATGTTTCTGACCCGCCCCGTGACTTTAGCCCCTATCGACCATGAGGTGGGGGGCCGGGCTCACCGGGGGTCGGTCTTTATTTACTGGGATTGTGCAAAAGGAGATTTATTGATGGTTTTGTTTTATCTTTTTACAGACTACTAACAGAGAAATGGTGTTTTTATTCTTCTGCTGTTGAGATGAAGAGTTTAATGTAATTAAGCAGCAAATTCATGTATTTGTTCCTCTTGAACAGAACAGATCATACATGAGATATTTAATAATAATAACAAAACAAACCCCAAAATGTATTTCCTGTTCCCTGCAGAGTAAACTGAGCCTGACTGATAACAGATAACATCTGTATTTCATCCCGGGGCGGACAGACTTCTCGTAGTGCGACTTGTCTTCATCATCATCTTCATTGCGTATAAAACAAAGCGCTTCAGTTCTGTCAGAAAAGTAACGTTGAAGAATACAGACTGACATAAAGCCTAAAACATGGGCCAGCCTGTTGATCGATCACGCAGATCCATCGATCGGAGACTTCTCATCAGTCATGAACGTGAGCGAGAAGGTTTGTGTCCTTGTTTCCCGTCAATGAGCGTTAATGATGTAAAAATAAGACGTTAAATAGTCATCATAAACCTCCCCGGTAGAAGTTCAGCCTGAAAGACGATTTAAAGAGATGGTGGTGATGTCTTCTATTTCTGTTGGTCGTCCCGCTGAGCGAGAAACCAGACCACATGTATTTATTTTACTATTCATTAAAAACGTCTATTTTGTAGTAATTGAACAGATCATAAAACCTTTTGCTCTGACTTCCGTTTACTCAGCCAAACTTGGTCTTTGTCAGAATAAAACTTTTTAGATCACTATTAAATCATTAAATATAGTTTTGAAAGAAAAGGCCTTAAAAAGTCTTGAATGTATTTAATCTGTTATTTTCAACATACGCTCTTACGTTGAGTGGAGGATGGAAAGTCATCCGATCTCTCCGAGTAATTTGGATCGTAATAAATCTGAAGTTATCGCTTAATGTTTTTTATTTTTTTTCTAAGCGATCATTTTCTTGTGAAATCAAACGTGCAGAAAGTTTCATGCTGAAGAAAAGCTGCAACATGTTTTATATCATTCACACCTTTTTTTTAATGCAGAATTAGTCTTGTTTTAATTGGGAGTCTGCGAGAGGCGTCAGAAACCCGGCTTCTGGTCTCTTGTTCCCGGTCCGGTGCCCTGAGGTCGGCCTCCACTGTCTTATTTTACAGACAAACGCTGTATTTATACCGTAATAGAGCTTTTATTTTTTTAACCTGAGTTTATATACGGTGGCGTGGTGGTTTTCACTGTCGCCTCGCAGCAAGAAGGTCCTGGGTTCTCCGCCCAGAGGCCTTTCTGTGAGGAGTCTGCGTGGGTTCTCCGGGTTCTCCCTCCCGTAGTCCAGAGACCTGCTCTGGGGACCAGGTTGTTGGGGACTGGCCCGTAGGTGTGTCTCGGTGTGGCTGAAGTTGGCTCGGGCAGACGCGGGATAAGCGGTTTGCAGATGGATGAGTCTAAATAACAAAACTCTTGTTGTTGTTTTTCTCTGTTTCCTGTCTGGTCACGTGTTGCAGCTCCGGTTTGTCTCCCCCTGTGGTCGGAGGAGGAACTACGCGATCACCGTGTGGGCCGTGAAGTCACAGCTGCTGATTGCTCGCACGGCTTCCTGCGATCAGATCATCCAGGCTGCTTTTCTCCTGCAGACTGACCATGCAGCCACCTCACAGCCCCCAGGGTGCCATTCTCTCCTTTAGCTGGAGGTAACGGTCATAGAGACACCTCTCTTCCTCGGCAAATAGACTCCCGCATCCTTTTTTTGGTCATTATGGAGCTTTTATCCCGGCTGTAATGTGAGATGATGGGGAATCGTAGAGTTATAATAACCTGCGCAGGTATTTACCGACCTTGAGAACTCATTCATTTCATTTCATCCTTTTTTCATAAACGCCGGTGGAGGTTTGAGTCTTCCCCTCTCTCGTAGTATTCGATGTACTATTCTCACATGAGGGTCCTTAGAGCTTCATGTGAACCAGCAGGGGGCGCACTAAAGAAGAACAACCTCACACTGTGTACTGTCGCGCGCCCTGTGACGTCATGAATACATCATGACGACTTGACGGATGAATATCCTGTAAACTATTTGCTGAAGAATAAGCAAAGTCCTGTTTCTAAAGCATCCAGAAACTAATCTGGCTTTTGAATCTGTTTTTTTAACGTTTTTATGAGTCAACAAGCTGTCTGAAAGAATCAGGAGAGAAAGTTTCACACATACAATACATTTAAAACTGGTTTCAGCCTTGAGTTTATTGACTTAATTTGATGATTTAAACACATACTGTTGAGTTGGTGTATTTATTCCTTTAATGAATTCAGTTCTGAGTTTAAATGAGATTTTAAAAATATTTGCTGTTTCTTTATCATGCGCTAATTTCCATGGAAACGTCTTTATTTCTATAAACTTCACCATGAAATACGTCGTCTTTAATTACATCGCAGTGAATTTGTCCTGCGGGGAAACAAAACTATAAAAGAATGACCGATCATTATTAAAATAACTTAAAATAAATATTTAATGTACTAAGAGGGTAAACAGCAGATTGTATATAAATATATTTATATATTATTATTCCCAATATATAGCATTATTATATTAATAATATAATTTATTTAATAACAATACGATTACTTCACTTAAATCTGTTCATTATTGTTTCAATGATTCGATTATTTCTTATAAAACTGATTTGATATTTGTAGAAATAATCATTGCAGATTGTGTGTGTGTGTGTGTGTGTGTGTGTGTGTGTGTGTGTGTGTGTGTCGGCATCAGTCCACTACAGATGGTCGGACTCTCACTCGGCTGTCACACTCTGATTGGCTGCTTCACTGCTGGGGGGAAGCTTCCGAATCAAACCTGACAGACATTTCTCACTCACACACACACACACACACACACACGCACACACATACACACACACACACACACACACACACACACACAGACTGGAGGACTATATGGCTCATATAGGAAGAACGGTATATATATATATACGTAATAATATGTGAAATGAAAAACCAGAGGAACCGATTCCATAAACACATAAAAAAACTGCTTCACACTATAGAAATAATACATCATTTTAATTTCCATTAATTCATCCATCATTAAATCTATGGAGTCTTAACAAAAGTCAGTCGCTCATCTTCTAGGCGCTTGTCCTTCATTCAGGGTCGCAGGGTCAATCCCAGCCTACATGGGCTGAGAGGAAGGTCCACCTTTGATTGGTCACCTGTCAATCACAAGGCACCCAGACGCACAACATGCATACTCACAATCACACAATCACACGGGATATTTAGAGCCACCAGTAAACCCCGGAGCCGGTCTGTGGACTGAGGGAGGAAGCCAGAGAGACCCGGGGAGGATAGAAAGGCCCAACCAGGACCTTCTGGCCGCGAGGCGACCGTGTAGAATACGTGTGCTCACAGGCTGCAGATCAATAACATCACACTATGATTTAGTTTTTAATCCTGAAGTTCTCTTCAGCATCAGGATTTATTGATCCAGAAGAAAAATAACATCCCTCATGAATTTAGCACCTTTTCATTTCTTTTTTGCTTTGAATAATATAGAATATTACCTTTTCATATTAAAGTCCTTTTTATCATAATAATGAGCAGCGACCAGCAGAGGCCGCTGTGCTGTTTGTTATGAGCTTCTTCTTTATTGATCCTCATCAATATCTTCACTGGAAACATTTCCATTTCATGGAATGTGACATTCGATTTTAGTCGTAGTGAAGAACTTCAACAATTACGTTTGTTTTTATTTAAATTTCCTCTTATGTTTCATCTTGTTCATTATTTATAATTGTCTAGTTGTTTAATTGTAAAATGTATTTAAATGTTGAAAATTAACCCCCCCGCCCAACCGGTGGAGTGGGGACATTTTTCCCATAGCTGCTGCAGGTGGAGACTCGTCTCCGAGCCGTTTAGCTAATGGTTCTCCTCCTGCAGCAATTTGTCCTCAACAACAACACATAAATTACCGTTTAGAGCTGCTCAGCGCTGAGTGACGGGGGGGGTCTCAAACTGAGGCGTGGGGGCTCCCCAGGGTCCTCCGGGGGGTTTCTACGAGTCCACATTGTATCTATAGATCCATATACACACATAGTTTTAACATTAAAACAATTATTTAATAAGATAGTCATCAGATAGATTGAAATCTGTGACGCAAGTGACGGGATAAAGTCTTTTTTTTTCATCTTATTGATCATCTTCCCTTTTTCCTCACAGACATCTCATTTGATTTTTGGTTTTAGTTGCTAAATTTCTTCTTCTTTCGATTTTAAATCCCCACTTTATCCAGTGATTTGGTAACTTGGTTCCCCGCTCCCTTCCTTCCGTATCTAACTCTCTCTTTTTGTTTCTGTCTCCTTTTCAAACAACCTAAAATCATTCAAACGTTGAGAATTGGAGAAGCGACGTCTTCTTTCCTTCAAACATCTGCTGGAGGACGTCCGTGTTGTTCTCCTTCTGCTGTGAAGTCTCGTGTTAAACCAGCGATGTGACTCCATCATAGAGTAGCACCTCTCATATGCATGTGAAGCAGAGGCTCAGCGGGGGGCTCGGGGGCGATGATGGCCGATGTGTCTCAGCAGGAAGAGACACGTCCTCACAGAGAGCTGTCTTCTGTCCCCTGTTTCAAACAACCTCCTTTTGAAGGACCATCAATAGTTCTAACTTTTTGCAAAACACGTCTTTATATATATATATATAACATTCTGTGGGTACTTTTTAATAAGTACTTGTATTATTGAATGATTAAAACATCTACTGCCTCTGCATGTCCTCGTTATACATTTTATTGATTGTACTTAGAAAGGAATTTTACCTCAGGAGACACTTTAAGTACTTCACAAGTTTCACAGAAATACCACAGAATACCTGCTACTTACTACACCGTGTTGACTGCATTATTACGGAAGTCGGTAAATATCAAGCCTCTGTTTTTATTTCAAGCAGATTTCAAATATGCTTTTACTTTTAGTCTCATGCAGCTGACAATAACCTTTTATTGTGAAAACAGGAAGCAATAACAACAAGGCTGCGTTAACACAATCCATTAAGTACAAACTAAACAGACGTCTTTGGTGTCAACCACAAACTTCTTGTCTTCTGCGGCTCTCCGGACGTTCTAACACCAACGAGGAAGAGAAGCAAACACCGGGGGGGGGGTAAACAAACAGTGGCGAGGAGGGAGGCGTTTAGCGGCTAATTGTCTCCACTGGGGAGCTGTTATGGTCTCAGGTAAAGCCTGTAAAGTCCCCGGGCCTGAGGGGTTAGAGGGGGGGGGGGGATGTGCTGTTACAGGAAGAGCCCAAGGGCACAGAGAAGGACTCAAACCACACACACACCTACACACACACACACACACACACACACTCAAGTTTTAGAAACATCCGCAGACACTGATGCAGAAATGAGAAGAAATGCATGAGTGTCGCTGAGTCACACACACACACACACACCTGGAGACAAAGGCAGTGTCCATCATCAACACACACACACACACACACACACATAGACTCACCTGGGCAGCCCCCCCTTGACACCTGTCAACACTTTAGGTGAGGAATAAACATCCTCTGAGCTCGTCCCGCAGATCAAAGAGAGACAGTGACAGGATGACAGATCTCAGATCAGCTTCCAGACCAGAGCAAACGATCACAGCGATCAATAATGACCAGCGGTGGTGGAAGTATTCAGGTAAGAGTGCTATTGGTACAGAGTAAAAACATTTTAAAAAGTAAAAGTACTGCCACTCCACAGTAATAATACGTGCTAATAATACAATAAGTACTACACAGCGTTACAGATGTTTTTGTCGATAGAATTATAGGTTAGTTTCTGACGAACCTTTTACTTTGACATGACAAATAGGAAGTAAAGTGGGATTATTGCAAAATTTAAACAACCACAATGGATTGTGGGTAAATCCAGCTGTGCCATAGAACAAACAGCTGGAGAGGAACAGGTTTAAGGTCAAAGAGACTGATGACTGAGGATAAGTCCTGATTTCTAAACGTAATTAGATTTACTAACTTTGTTTTCATTTCCTGTCACCTTTTCTTTTTCTCCTCTTGCTCGGTTTTGAACCCGATCACCTCTTGCTCGTTAAACCTCCTCGTTTCACTGCTCCATGAGTACAAGGCGTTCCCGTCTGTCATCTTCACTTCCTGCCTGCAGCTGTCTGACAACTCTGCCCACCCTCGACATTAAACCGGGGGGGGGGGGCTCACGGCTACTTAGGTGGTAATATATCGTCCTGGATGCCACAGGTGTTGTCCTAAAGTGGTCTGGATCAGATAAGAACCTCCCCCCTTGTACACTCTAAAAATCCAAAGAGCCTCAGGTGTGACGGCCGTCACGGATTACTCTATGACGAAACTAGCGTCGATGCTAATAGCGGCTGTTACCATGTGTATGGGTGGAAGAGGCGGGCAGGTCAAAGGTCAACATGGGGTAAATTCACATCCGGCTGAAAGTGATATGGTTTTTAATGATGAAAACATTCACTAACTCGAAGATCCTTTCATATGTCTCAAAGTTGCCGAATGCTTGGGGGCAAAATTACATTATCAGCGCAGTAGTCCTTCGTTCGCCAAGGCGACGCTGTCGACCAGTCACACGCGTGTGAGCCAACGTTCCTGTTTAGTTTGTAACGTTTCTACTGCCAATGTTTAATGTTGCACCGATTGCATTTAAACAAATGCAAAAGGACCTACACATGTTCCCTGATGAACTCCGCTGGAACAAACATGCAAACTGTGTTTTAGTTCAAAGAAAACAGACCTTCTGTAAAACTCCAAAACAATATCTGGCTTTGGGGGCATTTTTAAAAATATGACTCAAATCACATGCGTCAGCTGATGTTCCTGCTAAAGCAAAAAGAGCAAATGTCTTTTGACTACAACGCCATCTCCTCAGTGAATCTTTCATCTGACGTGTTTTTGGCCTCTCAGACGTCTCAAGGCCTGAGACAACTGTGGTTTTATTAAACAGTTTCTCTGCTGGACCCAATCCAAAAAAACATTTATCCGGTCAATTGTTGCCTTTATCAACAAACTGCGTGTGATCGATCAAAACCACCAATCCATCACGTAGCTCACCAGCTACCAGTGCAGCACGGACCTTTCCAGCCAGGTGAAATAATGCTACAATGAAGCGTGGCAGTAAATCTCCACACAGACAGGTGGACAGAGACGGTCGGGACACCTCCAGCTAGTACAGCACGGTGGTATGTTTGGCCTTTGAAAAGACGCGAGCGGGGAAACTAGGTAACGTGCGAGTGCGGAGGGGAACCGGGCCGTGGGTCTTCATACCTGTCGAGGATAATAAC